CCTTTTCAAGAGAGTAAAATCAAGTACTCTCTGTTAATGCTAAACAAGTGTACAACTTCTACTTGTTTATGATTTCCTCTGAAAGCTACTGGCTTTGTAAAAAATACTTTCAGATCTGACCTCCTCCGAATAGGACACATTGCACAGAAAAAAAAAAATCAATAGATGGTAAGCTCTTCAAAAAAAGGCAAATTTGCTTGTTTTCATTTCCTGAAAGGTCGACATTTCACAGATACACTGCTTCATCAGACACTGCCGATTTGCAAATCACACAACACGATGTGGTTACACTGAACGCCGGTGGCAGCCACCAGTGTGTGAGCCGGTATGACTCACCTCTCTGCACCTCCAAGAAAAACACACCGACACAAACATAAATAAACTCAGAAAGCGGGACGAACACCGATCCAGGTCAGCCCCGTTTAATGTGCTCCTCAGGTTGGGCACTGAGGTAAAATTGTAAGTCTAACAAACAAGACACGTGCACAGTATGACACTTATAGTGAACAGCCAACATTTAATGTGTAACTGCAGTCTGCCAACCAATCAGAGCAGACAGTCTGTGGCAGGCAAGCAAGCAGAGCAGAAGCTGAGACTAACTGTGAATACATGCAGACACACAGGAGAGAGGAGAGGCAAGGAGGGGTTTGACAGTGAAGGAGGGAGAGGAAACCAAGCGAAGACATCCCCACTGAGTGTTCACCGAAGCCTTCAGCTGAAGCTGCAGATATGATCGCTCTAAACAACAAATAATCCCCTGGATGGTAACTTTTGAAATTATGCCTATTGCAACTATATGTACGTAGATGGAAATATGATTTAAATCGTATGATGATACTATTGATTGTGGCAATGTAGTAGTAAAAACACCAAATAATAAATAAGAGAAAACTACAGAGAGAATGCCAAAAAAATGTGTAGTGAAGAAATAAAATGCAAATAAAAATGATCTCTTACCTTTGTGAGTGAGTGTTCTATCCTTTGTAATAAAACTGCAATTTAGTAGATGCTTCTGTCTTTGTAGGACAAGTTACATCTACATGTATGCTTCTTTCATCTGAGCATGAACTCGTCAGTCCTCTGTGCCAGCGCTTTTGGTCCACCTTAGTAGGTTTGTGAAAATACACACAAGATGGTAATGAATAGTGGAGAGTGAAAGGACAGCACTACGCTGGAAGGCAGGCAGTCTGCATGAAACAGGAGAGCTGGGAGAGTAGAGAGCAGACTGAGTAGGATGCAGGAGGTATTCTTCCCAACATCAGAGTGGCCGGGTTGGAAACACCCACCTTCTCAGCATGCATCAAATGGGAAGCCCGTTCTAAAGTATGTGGACATGGAAAACTCCTGCGTGCAGCGGGAGATCATACCTGATGAACGGCGGCTCTAAAAACTGTTCGCCAGAATTGCCAGATTTTTTAATGCAAAAACAAGAGACTATGGGAAGGAAATTTTCCTTTTAATCATTTAACACATAAACCAAAAATATACACCTGTTTGCATAAATGTGCACTCCCTTAAACAAGTACTTTGATAAAGCACCTTTTAATTTGGTTTTAAATCTCACGCTTCTTGGGAACACTTCTGCTATTAATTATAAAGCATCTGATAACCTAGAAACAAAGTTCAGCTGCCCAAGCAAGATTTTTTTTGAAATTTGCTCATTTGTATCTGTTAGCTAAAGGAATAGTTTGCAGAGAGATTACAAAAAAATTAAGTCATCTAATTGTAGAAATGTATCAGTCTGGAGCCAGGGAGCAAAAACAAAAGGGCATCACTAGAAGAACACGTTGTGACTAAGTCTGTAACCAAGTCAAAGTGTGGAATGCAATTAAAATCCTACCAAATAATGCAGAACACTGAAATGCAATCAGAAGCTACTTCATACTTTGATTTGTTTATTTTTAGGTTGTTAGAGGACACATGTAACATTACAGGTATAATGCTTTAAAGGTATTTTTCCACTCATATGATTATTTTATGAAAATGTGTCATTTTTCCAACGGTGTGTAGACTTTTAAGATCCACTGCACACACATGTGAGGCTGTGAGCGCTTGTTAACTTCCGCTTAATTACATATTAAGCCTTTCCCCTCAGCCGAGTGCAGCCTGTGAGATTTGTCCACCGGTACTTTTTTTCAGTGGAAAGAAATAAACCACGATAAGAGTCTTCATGCCTTAAACGGCTGCTAATGAGTTGAATTCGGGGCTCAAGATGTGTGTTCTTATAAAATCACTGCAATGATGTGATTAAACCAGCTGTTCCCAACCTTGAAGGATGCCCTGCAGGTCAAAGGAGGGAATGTAACTCTCAAACACGAATTCTTTAATGTGTTTGTGTTTTACTGCCTTATTCTTCAAATGAAATTAGAAAGACTCAAAACATGCTAATGATGTATTTCCAGGTTTGCTAAAAAGTGTTGCAGTACAGTAATAGTTCATCTGATGCAAATAACAAAATAACAACTGTGTGCAGCTGTAACAACAGGATTTGTACTGAGAGCTAAAAAGATTCTTGGAGTGCACCGTTGCCTGTCACTCAACATGCCTTCATTTTCCCATCAGTGATCTCCTCCTGACAGAGATGGAGCATGAGAGTGGGGAGATTTCTTTTTTTTTTTTTTTGGGCTTTAAAGCGTTCACACCACCTACATCTCCCGGTCCGTGCTGTGAGGGCTCCACGCCTCCTGGGACAAAGCCTGCTTTAATAAAGGCCAGCAGCATTGCACAGGGCATGCAAAGAACTCCTCGTTAACACAAGTTGAAAGAATAAAATGTACAAAATTGCTGCATTTACATCAGGTGAAAAGAAACCAACTAAATTCTTCCTTCAATAGAAATAATATTTGTAACATTTCAAAGCTCAAATCTGCTTAATGACTTAATTATGTGTTTTAAAGTTTCATTTCTACTGTTTTAGGAACGTCATACTCTATAGCTCAGGACATGGGTGGTGGGATTTGTCTTTTGTTGAAGAAAAAAAACATAATTATTAGGAGGCGATGAGAGAAAGGCACCACAATAATGCTTCTTTATTATGCAGCCCCACGTTAGGATTTAGATGGACTCTGAGACGGGATGGGGAAAATTACTGCCCCATCAGTTGTATCTGTCAGAACCAGGGCCAGCATAAGGCTTAAAAAACTGAGAAGCATCCCCCAGTACTCCCTCCTCCAAATCCTCCCACACCCCCAACTAATAGTGGGCCCCTAAAACCACCAGAATTATCATTCTTTGGTTGCATTAGCAATCGCGCAAAACAAAGCTCCCTAATATGTAAAAATGCTTTCATTATGAAAAAAAAAAAAAACTAGTTGATTAACATGTTAATGCTTCTGAAGTCCCCGCTCCATCTCTCCTAACAGCTAAATCTCTTAAATAACAGCAATAAGGATAAACTGCTTGTTTGTTTTTACATTTGGGATTTTTTTGTGTTTTATTTTATTTTTTTCTAAAAATAATCTGCATATTTTTTTGAGAGGCTAAAATAAAAACCAAACACCATTCCATTTGATAATTTCCATCCTTTACTCTGCCATTAACTTCTGAAGTCCTTTATGAGAACTAAAAAAACAACCATATATTTTGAAACATGTCCACCAAGTTTGTAGACTAACAAACAGTAGTGCAAACCTGTGCAGTGGAGGGGAAATGGTTCTAGGACAACCATTCACTGACATTACAGCTGCAGGTCTTTAGGGTGTTTCTGACAGATTTGCAGATCTACAGACTGAATATTTTCCTTTTTGTTCTTTACAAAAAGGCTCTATGAATGCCACTTTGACTTGGATTCTCTAACACATGAATGAATATTCTTTGATCAAAACCATTTCAGCTCTGACCCTGTATCGTAGCTGCCCTGCTCAAAATAAAACCTCAGGTCTTACAGCTTTTAACAGTTTTTCTTCAATTATTTTCCTGCGAACATCTCCATCCATCTTTTAATCAACTCTATTCAAGTTCCTTTTAAATACAATGCTTCCCCATAACATGATCCTGCCACCACCATGTTTCACGTTAGCTTGTTGAAGCAGAAGTGCAGCATTAGCTTTCAACAAATACCGTTTTTGCTTTGGTTTCATCTGAACTTCTCTTCCCAGACTTTATCTGTCCCTTACACGGCTTGCGGAAAGCTTCAAACAGAAGTCTGCATGGCTTTTTAAAACTATTTTCTTGACAGTTTTTCATAAAGGTCAGTTTTGTTGATTACTTCACTAGAGGTTGTCTTTTCAACACATTCTTGCACCTGAACAAAAATTCTGTTTAGGCCCCCCAAACAGGAGCTCTGAACCAGCTCATATTACAGCTTGGTAAATCATTCTCCTGATTCATTTTATTTATTAATCAAGTTAATTTTGAAGAAAGTGAAGCTATGTTATTTGGGATGAAATACCCTGAAATTATTCCTGTTGTGAGATTTTTGCACACTGAACCAGTCATGAAATTTATATTAGAGTCACTCCAAAGCCTGAGATAGAGGAGACATCCTATTCTGGAGCATTAGATTGAGGATACCTTTGGGAATATCAGCCAGTCCCACAGGAAGTACTAGTCTGCGAAACTACTACTACCGTCCATTATCTGCATCCTTGCTGCAACAACACTTGATAACCAAGGGGTTTCTTGAAGCTCAGGCACAGTAGAGCTCAGCTCCATTGATGCAATGTTTGCTGCTGACCAAGCATCCACTCTGCAGCAGCAGCAGCAGCAACAGAAGAAACGGAACGTCCAGCTCGAGTATCGTATGGAAAAAAATGTCCCCACAGTTTGAAACCCTGTCGTTTCGCTTTTTTTATTTTGGCAACATTCAGGTGCTACGATACTCCCCTCATCGCACAAACACACGCCAGAACCAACAGTCTTTAGCCCTTTTAACATCACAGTGCAACTGATACTATTAAGGTGAGACGAGATTAAATAGACACCTTAGTGCTGCGATCAAAGTATATTTACGTTTCCCCCCAGAAAGCAATGAACAAACAAACTGTATCTTACCGTTAAAATCATGAAGGAGTAGCCTGGTGACTGTCAGATGAGGAGATGGTCCAGTGAAGATGGTGATGCTGCTGGATAGTTTGCCGTCATATTCCCTGGATAATGTCGCCCCCTGTTGATCAAAACTGTGTATAACCGTTGCTAATCATTCCAATGGACGGGACCGTTTTTTTTATTTTATTTAGGAATGTAAAACTTTACTTATAATGAAACAATTTATAATTGCAACTGATACAAACACGGTATACACGGTAGTTCAGTTATTATTATAATTGTTTTGGAGCATACAGCTTCCCGAAATAATGATAATGTAAGGTTTGCAGGTAGAAAACGGTTTTATGATTTCAAAATAAAAGCACGAAACTGTTGACGTTTAGTTTACATTTTACTTGTCATTATGCCACATACTATGTATGTGCGGACTTTTAAAAACGAAATATATAACGACAACGGATTATATTGAATAAGCCTGAAGGTTTAGTTTTATTTATGTCAAAACTATACTTGCAAGCAATGTGTTCCAGGCCTCTTGATTAGTTGTTATGCCCTTATATAGAATCGTGATTGCAGTACATTATGATGAAGGAAAAGGTAGAAAGTGATGTAATCAAAATATCACCACAATACCAAGCAATAATACCGCAACTTTGCAATAGTTTTTTTCCAAATACGAATACTTTTGCTGTGAATCGCAAACAGCAAACAACTTTGGATGGGCATTCGTAACTATCCCTAAAGTAACAATAATTATCCAAAAATGGATTGTATACCTAACCAAATTGTCTATGTTTGTTGAGAAAATCTCCTCCTCTCAGCAAACAGCTATTTTGCTTGTCAGCCTTTATTTTGATGGGAACCCCAAACTCTCGATCTTTCTCCTTTTTAGCTCAGCTGCCCTTTCAGGAAACACTACAAATATGGCGTCAACAGGGTGGATGGATTTCGTCTTTTTAGGTGTCCTTAGATCGGCCTGCGTTTTAGACTGTAAACGTTATCTAATTTGACAAAAACCTGTGCATATTTATAAGATTTATGTGCTCGCATGGTTTACATTTATTATGAAATGGAACCGTTATGTGATGTTTTTGTCGGATATGTTCAGACAGTGTCGATTCTTCACCGGCGGAGAAACGGTCAACGTGTCTTCGAGCAGGAAAAAGCGCCAACTTCTCTTTGCACCGTCTGAATAGTCAAACAGCGGACTACATGGTTTGAATGACTATATATTTGGGAATATATATTAAAACTGAAGCTGGAATGAGTCCTTCAGGTAAGATTTAAACGTGTCCTCTGACTGTTCGAATTAAGAGAGTTCGTTGTTTTGAATTAAGCAGTTGAAGGCAGCGTGCTGCCTGTTTACTCCTCCCACTGCTTCACAACACCGCTCCATGTCGACCCAGTTTTTGCACTGTGTTGCGTTCAAATAGTTTGGAATGAGTTTTTAAATGCACACTGCTTTGTTTTTACCATTATATAAAAATTAGAGAGGCAGAGTTTCGTCTCTGGTTGTTGTGGAGGGGTGGTTATACAGGCACCATTAAGTTAGCGTTAGCTTGGTAATATGTTATATAATACCGAACTGAACTTGTAACTGTACACTACACTGTAAACCAGAACCGTCTGAACTGATCAACTCGAACTGTTTTGCTCAAAATTACATTACAGGAGCAGAAACTTAAGTGCGTAGTTACGTTCGTTCATGTCGAGCTCTGATGGCGCCCACTGAAATATAATGTGCAATTCTCTTTTTCGCCAGTGCGCTGCGCTGTTCGGTCTCAGTAAGTTACTAAGGAGAACGACGATGTCAGGTCTGCTGGCTGAGAATGCTGGAACAGGACAGGGGAGTCCTGTGAAAAGGAACAAACTTTCCTTGAAGTTCTTCCAGAAGAAGGACACAAAACGAGCTCTGGATTTCTCCGAACCTCAAGCAGAAGATGCAAAGACACTAGAACAAGAAGATTCTCCAGCCAGGTGGGTCTGTGAGTAGTAGTAGAGTAGTTTAGTTCATGTTTCAAACTTTGCAATAATAAACCACATTGCCAGGTTATGAACAACACTCAATCACTGAGATACAGATGTTGATATTTTAAAAGTAGTCCATGTTAACTTATTTTGTCAGCAGTACACAAATCAACTTCTTTTGTTTTATAAACAGTTGACAAATGTCCATTTTTGTAAAAAAAAAAAAAAAAAAAAGTCAAAGTTTATTTATAGAACACTTTAAAACAAGGAAAGCTGAACAAGTAGAATTTGGGTCATAAATCATTTAGGAACAGCAGTCATTAGTTGCTGTCCTGCAGTTTTTAGCTGTGCCACAGGTACAAAACACTGGAATGAAATGGCTTAATTACCTCCTCCTTGTGTAGATTGGTTCTCCAGAGCCTTGCTAATGACCTAATTATTCTAATCAGGTGTGGTACAGCAGAGTGGTACAGCATCTAAATGTTGCAGAACACTGGCCCTTGAGTACTGGACTTTGACACTCCGGATTTAAGAGAACATCAAGGTTCAGCATTTTAACCTTTGCCAACTTAAACAGAGATTGTAGAAACGAAACTTCTGGAAAACTGACATCTTAATTTATTATTAATTAAATGTGTAAGAAAAATAACATTTTAAAAAATATTTATTTTCCAGACTTTATTGCTCATTCAGTTCAAAGTTTTCTCAATCTCAGTTCAGTAGGCTTAAGATTCATGTAAATAAACACGAATTAAAAATGAAATGGTTCTTTAGTACCAAAAATGTACATTTAATCACATAAGTAGTATAAAATGGTATTTTAAATGGGCATGAAAAAGGAAGAAAAACACAGTATGTTTTGTTTCTCCAATTTGTTTTCTGTGTGTAGATAATCTCAACTACAAACATCCAGCAGCTTTCTAACACCCACTGAGTTTGCTCATTTGTATATCAAATCACATTCCAGCTTGCTGGTAAGAGGTTAATGACCGTCATCAGTCTGCCGGCTCTGCCAATCTGGGTTCTCAAAAAACTTTTCAGCTTTTTATTTTTAGATTCTTCCTATAATTTGTATAAATTTTCACAGTAACTTTTTCCATTGCAGAATTGTTTGCACCCTCTGTATATACACCACAAACAGGTTTTCAACTCTGGATAAACAAAGAACATGTAATCTCTCCCCACTCTGAAAGAGGGCTGCTCAATATAAATAAAATCTGTTTTAAACATTTGTTGAATTATTGGATACTCAAGACACTTTTGGCCTAGAACACTGGAGAAAAAAACGTTGGCAAGCGTAATAATATTGCTACAGTTATATACAGTTTATGCTCTCATTCCATATAAAAAACCTAGAATAATTTAAGCAATGACTGTGAAAATTAAAACAATCCATTTCCTGTTTTGTTTTTCCTAATCTGCTGCAGCTGTGATCAGGTGGTCTATGGCCCCGCCCCCTGTCCGTCTTCACCTGGCCTTCCAATCCCATGTGAGAAGAGGGAGAACCTGGTGCCTTTTGTGGGTCTCAATAACCTTGGCAACACCTGCTACTTAAACAGCATCTTGCAGGTGGGTGATTACTTCTTAGTTCAAGTTCCACAAATCAAAAAATCTCCTTCAGAAATGTATTTAATACATCGTAGGTCACATATTGTTGTTGAATCTTAATGGATAATTTGACTAGTGCCCTAAAAGTATATTTTGCTTCACCAGTTTTTAAGTTTGTTCTGGTAAATACTTGCTGGTTTCTAATCTTGAAGGAAGTTTTGCACATGGCAGCACAAAACAACCCATAAAGAGGCAAAGAGATGAAATTGTTTCTCATTCACTAAAAGAAGAGAAGGGTTTTTTTCAGGTAGAACGGCTTAAGGCTGGAGATAAGAGGCTGCTTTGCAGTGCATTGTCCTCCTGAATGATGCATTGTGTGCTTAGATTGCCCCATTGTGGCTTATCTGTAGAGGCATTGTTTGGAAGTGAAGAGACGTCAAGCGGTGAACGTTTCATCACTCAGTTGGACTCTTGTGTGATCTCCTCTGTAACACCTGTTCACACAGCGGGCCTGTTGCTGCAGTGTCATATTTCACCAGTTGCTTACAATAAGTGAGATGTCTCTCCTTTCCAAAGAGGACAAAAGATAAAGAAATTTGCCTCGTCTTCACAGTGAAATGATATTGGATGTACAGAAAAAAGCACAAAAAAATTTGTAAAAGTATGAGATGGATTTAAGTTTATGTTTTGATAAATATTGATTGACTCATAAAACTTTTTTGCTTCATTTCTTTTTTTCATATAACTACTTTTACATAAAATCTTTTTTTTTTTTTTTCATTTCAAATCCAGTTTCAATCTTTGTTTTTCACTTTCTTTCCTTAGAAATGGCGTAAAATATTTTCAAAAACAGGCTCTTGTTTCAGTCATTCCTTCTGTGAGCTGAACTGAATTCAAAATCCAAATAAATATGAGCTGCAAAGAGTGCTTGTCACCAAGAAAGGAGACCTTTGATGACACTCACTGTAAACTATGAAAACCCATGGAGTGCATTTGTTAAAATCAATTGATAAAATCTTGATACTCCTTTTCTTTAAATTGTTGTGTGTGTAGAAGCTGTTTATAATCGCTGAAGACCGCTCACACACACTCATAGCCTCTGACAAAAAATTTTTTTGGGGAGACCAGTTAAACTGTGGAAGGAAGCCATCCGCCACATGTTCATATCTGGGGTATTCATTGGCTGTTGGGTTTTAGAAATCTGTGTAAATGGAGCTAAAATGTAATGACTTGTGTTTTTCACCTGCAGGTTCTGTATTACTGCCCTGGGTTCAGAGAAGGGGTCAAGAAGCTGTACGACCTTTCCAAAAGACCAGAGAAACCAAAGGATGAAACTGCTAAAAATGAAGAGGTTGGTTCAAAGCAAACTGCTTAA